ATCATCACTCCAATTGCAGTATCTGATTTCGAAAATGTATCTAGTTTTTTTGCTGACTAGGTGGAGACTTCATTCAAACGTCATTGAAACCGCCGTTCGACGCGCAACAAAGTTACGGACTTACATTTTTTTTATGATGCTTTTGGGCTGAGATGTAGCGTCTTCTATCGGCACATCTAAAAATCCTTGAAGTCATTTTTTAACAAAAAACTCAGTTTTCAATCAAACTTCATGAAAATACATTCAAATAGCTTAAATACCATTGCGGATCTAGTGGGCATAGTTTAAGATCTCTAGCAGGTCTTCAGAGGATCTCTGGAAAAATTTGTGAGATAAAAATGTGTTGAGTGAGATTTTCGAAATTATTTGCATTTTTTCAGTGTACACGATGCTTGAATTGATTAGAAAAATACTTGAACGTGTGAAAAGATCCACAAATAGAACAGTTCTGTGTAATAGTAATAAAAAAACGAAAAAAACCTAGAAAAATCCTGATCTTAATCATCGATATTAGCATTCGTAATTTTACGATGAGTTAGAATTTTATGTTTACATAAACCACTGAAAAAAGTTGCCAATACTTCTAAATAATCTTTTCCTTCACTGTAAGCTTTGATCGTTTTCCAAAAGCGTCTAAATAGTTTCAAATGAATATGTCTTTCTGTAAAGTTTTCTTTTGCTTCTTCCATTAATGAAACCAATGCTTGAAAAGTTTGATCGGTGTTTTTTCTGATAAACTGTTTTGAATGACACCAGAAACCTTCAATAGGATTGGTTTCACAGTGAAATTTCGGTGCAAAAATAATTTTGACACCATATTTGGCTCCAAGCTTTTCTAGTTTGCTAACCTATTGATAAAAGTCAGAGAAANTCAGAGAAAAAGGATCGTGGGCATTTTCGGTTTATGACTAGTTTAAATCAAGTTTTACTCACATTTTTAAAGGCTGAATGTTCAGACACGATCTGTTTTAACTCAACTAATTTACAATTTTGTGGTACATGAATATTCAATTCTTCTGCTAATTTCAATAGGCCTTTACTCTCTCCATCGTCATCATAACAGTCAATGGTTCTTTTGATATTTTGATCATCAACATATTCTATTGCATAAACTGGACATCGTCCACCAGGCTTCATAGCAAAATCATTAACACTGTATTCAGCTGCTGTATGTGTACGGGCGTTGTCAACGAGACAAACAAATTC